AACCTACAAATAACGACTCAACTTTTATTTCTGTAATAAGTGTTTATTTCGGGGCTGTATTGGAAAGGTGGGAGTCAGTAACGTAGAACTCGATCAGAAATTGATCGTTTTACACGTAGAAAAGTGTTAACCCTTATATATATGATCCAGTGTATGGAATAAGCCCCAAACCCAGTCAGACATCAGGGCTGGTAACTTCAAATTGTTACCAGCCCCAAATGGATTTAACCAGACCAAACACAAAGATATATGGTGAATTTACACTAATTTACTAAATGTTTTACCAGACCATCGGGCTAGCTGTCAAGTTAGACCGTCCGTCAGAAATCTAGCTCGTCTCGGGCGGTCGAACGGGCCTTATTTCATACGCTTCTACATCCAGTTAGGACAGATCTCTGATCATGTAAGAGGCAGCCCAGTGAGCGAGTAGGTATATAAGAGTTCATATTTTGTCAATACTTCGGCTGGGGAGGGCACTATATATATAATGCGTTAATGTGGAATCGAACAAGATTTTTAGGGTGATGGCTTTAACCGTTGACCCATCACTCTCTATACTCCATGGGAATGACGATTATTGTTTTAGACTTTTCTATTCCATTATACGGTTTTCATTTTCAGCATCAGAAGGTTACAGAGTTGTTAAACTGACCAAACTTTGACATTGTTTCGTGACATACACCATGTATAAAGGCTGTATAAGTTATAAAATATATGGTAGTATCTGTGGCATACTTATCCCTCTGTGTAAATGTGTACAATAAGGGCTATCGCAAACATGTGTAAAGGTACAACACATATACAATCCTTCACTGAGTCACAATTAAGGCACAACACGGCATCGTCCACGACTACAGATACAGCACAGCATCGTCCACGACACCATAGTCACAACATAGAATCGCCCATCACCATAGCCACAACATAGAATCGCCCATCACCATAGCCACAACATAGAATCGCCCATCACCATGGCGACAACACAGCATCACCCATCACCATAGCCACAACATAGAATCGCCCATCACCATAGCCACAACATAGAATCGCCCATCACCATAGTCACAACATAGAATCGCCCATCACCATAGCCACAACACCACATCACCCATCACCATAGCCACAACACCACATCGCCCATCACCATAGTCACAACATAGAATCGCCCATCACCATAGTCACAACATAGAATCGCCCATCACCATAGCCACAACACCACATCACCAATCACCATAGCCACAACACCACATCGCCCATCACCATAGTCACAACATAGAATCGCCCATCACCATAGCCACAACATAGAATCGCCCATCACCATAGCCACAACACAGCATCACCCATCACCATAGCCACGACATAGAATCGCCCATCACCATAGCCACAACACCACATCACCCATCACCATAGCCACAACACCACATCGCCCATCACCATAGCTTCAACACAGCATCGCCAATCACCATAGCTTCAACACAGCATCGCCCATCACCATAGCCACAACACAGCATCGCCCATCACCATAGCGTCAACACAGCATCGCCCATCACCATAGCGTCAACACAGCATCGCCCATCACCATAGCTTCAACACAGCATCGCCCATCACCATAGCCACAACACAGCATCGCCCATCACCATAGCGCCCATCACATAGCATCGCGCCATCACCATAGCGTCAACACAGCATCGCCCATCACCATAGCCACAACACAGCATCGCCCATCACCATAGCCACAACCCATCACCATAGCGTCAACACAGCATCGCCCATCACCATAGCGTCAACACAGCATCGCCCATCACCATAGCTTCAACACAGCATCGCCCATCACCATAGCTTCAACACAGCATCGCCCATCACCATAGTCACAACATAGAATCGCCCATCACTATAGCTTCAACACAGCATCGCCCATCACCATAGTCACAACATAGAATCGCCCATCACCATAGCTTCAACACAGCATCGCCCATCACCATAGCTTCAACACAGCATCGCCCATCACCATAGCCACACCTTAGAATCGTCCGTCAACATAGCCACAACACAGCATCGCCCATCACCATAGCATCAACACAGCATCGCCCATCACCATAGCGTCAACACAGCATCGCCCATCACCATAGCGTCAACACAGCATCGCCCATCACTATAGTCACAACACAGCATCGCCCATCACTATAGTCACAACACAGCATCGTCCATCACCATAGTCACAACATAGAATCGCCTATCACCATAGCTTCAACACCGCATCGCCCATCACCATAGCTTCAATACGGCATTGCCTATCACCATAGCTTCAACACCGCATTGCCCATCACCATAGCTTCAACACCGCATTGCCCATCACCATAGCTTCAACACCGCATTGCCCATCACCATATCCACAACATAGAATCGCCCATCACCATAGCCACAACATAGAATCGCCCACCACCATAGCCACAGCATAGAATCGCCCACCACCATATCCACAACATAGAATCGCCCACCACCATAGCCACAACACAGCATCGCCCATCACCATATCCACAACATAGAATCGCCCACCACCATAGCCACAACACAGCATCGCCCATCACCATAGCTTCAACACAGCATCGCCCATCACCATAGCCACACCCTAGAATCGTCCGTCAACATAGCCACAACACAGCATCGCCCATCACCATAGTCACAACACCGCATCGCCCATCACCATAGCCACACCTTAGAACCGTCCGTCAACATAGGTACAACACAGCATCGTCCATCACCATAGCCACACCTTAGAACCGTCCGTCAACATAGGTACAACACAGCATCGCCCATCACTACAGATACAACGGATACAAAACGTCAAAATAACAAATAAGGCATCATGCAATATTCATGCTGCAAAAGAACAAAACCTGAACAAAATGGATGAGAGTGAACCCGAGGCGACTTGTTGATCAGGTGAACCGAGAGTGGCAAAGTTTACTTTTTGCACGTGCACCCCCGGCGCGGGTGATTTCTGTCACGTCGCTTCGTCGAGTTCGACAGTTGGACATCGGAAACTTCGTCCACACAGTCACGTAAGCTGAAACCTGACACGCGACGTTATGTCACTGTAAAGTTGTCTGCAGTTTCAGATAGTTCCTGTTCCTAAGGTCCGGGTTTAGAAGGAGCGCCTATTAGTCAGGATCCCTTTGAAACATAAAGAGACGAAGCTGTGACAACGAGACAGCACCAACAAAACCAACAAATGAATGTGAGAATATGCACGCATGGTCGCACACACATAGACACGGGAACACAGACACAGATAGAAAGACAAACACAGATACAGGCACACAGGCATAGGTATACACAGACAAACACACACCGCACACAGATACAGACACACACCGCACACAGATACAGGCACACACAGAGATACAGGCACACAGGCATAGGTATACACAGACAAACATACACCACACACAGATGCAGGCACACACACACCACAGGCAGACAGACACCTCACACGTAGATACGGACACACACCACACACACACAGGTGCAGGCACACAGACAGGTAGATACAGACACCTCACACGTAGATACAGACACACACCACACACAGAGAAACAGACACACCACACACAGATACAGACACACACCACACACAGATACAGGCACACACCACACACAGATACAGACACACCATACACGGATACAGATACACACCACACACAGATACAGACACACACCACACACAGATAGACACACACCACGCGTAGATACAGACACACACCACACACAGATACAGACACACACCACACGTAGATAGAGACACACGTCACACACAGATACAGACACACACCACACACACAGATACAGACACACACCACACACAGATACAGACACACACCACACACAGATACAGACACACACACCACAGATACATACACACACCACACGTAGATAGACACACACCACACACACAGATACAGACACACACCACACCCAGATACAGACACACATCACACGTAGATACAGACACACACCACACCCAGATACAGACACACACTACACGTAGATACATACACACACCACACACACAGATACAGACACACACAACACGTAGATACATACACACACCACACACACACACCACACACATACATACACACACACACACCACACACACAGATACACACACACACCACACACAGATACAGGCATAGATAGACACAGACAAACACACACAAGACACACAGGCATAGATACCGATAGACAGACAGACACACGCTCACACATAGATACATCAACATAAACATAGATAGAAACAGACGGACACACACACACGAAGATACGGGCAACCACACACATTTTCTGATCTACCATATTAAAACATTTATCCCACTCATAGTGACCCTTTTGTCATTTCTAAAAAGTCCCCCCCCCCGACACACACACACACACACCCTCTCTCACACATGCACGTAATCGTAATAAGGACTATATTATTGTCGACACATTTTGTACTTGTTTGTGCTTTTCCTAGTCTTTTTAGTCTATACATTCACGCCACAATATTACAATGAACATTTTCCCCGTCAGTAAATGATGTCCTATCCAATCGAGGCCTTGTTTTGTAATGTTACATGGATTGAATAAAAACCCCACAATTGTCCACAAATCATGTTTGCATATATTGTAACCATGCATTCTGACCATCGAGGCCTCAAATACTGTATCTTGACAAACAGCAGCGCTAATAGTCTCTCGTACAGACCCTGAAGCAAATATATCCAAGAAAGCCCACACAAGTCTAGAAAATGTGGCAAGTCTAGATTTCCCCAGCTTCTGAAAATGAAGAAAGTCTCAGGGCTCCTATTCATTATATATATTTTTTTTCACTATGAACTTTTTTCAGTAAAATATGTTCATTTCAGAGACTAGTTGTTAGTCTACAGCGCTAACAGCCTTCACCGTTCAGCTACAATGATACCTCCCCGTGTGATGTGACCTCTAACCCTGTGACGTCACTCATGACATTCACATCGGGGTCACGACTTCGCCTGTCCACGTGATGGCTCCGAGTTCCTTGAATGATCTCGTAGTAGGGTGACAGTCGACAGAGAATGGCATGTGTTGGTAAACACAACGAATAGGAGGAGGCTGCCGAGATCTCCCTAACATAAGTCAGCAGATTGAAGATCGTCCATATCTGTGACATCAGTGTGCTGACGAAATGCCTTGTGTCCAATAGTGAATGATATTTTGTTTGTACTACGAACTCCAAGCCGACGACCACGACAACATAGATTTTTCAGTTCTCGCACTGAAAACTTCACAGCAGAGGAGTTATACAGGGGCTAATCCCATACCATGATTTATCAGGTTTTACTAAAAGAAGAAGTGATTGCTCTAAAAGATGAACTCGAGAAAGGACTGCCTGGAACAGCGAAGGTAAGGATCCTGTTAACGTTTTCAGCTAGTCGTCAGTGAATGAGGCCCTCAACCAGTGGGCATAAACGCACAGTCTCCTGTTTGCACACATTGTGTAGTGAAGTCAATTGTTACTGAGGTGTCGATGTGAATTGCGACATCTCCCCTACCGACTTCATCCTCTCCAAAATTACAACATCAAACAAACAAAAATAGAAAATTCGCAACAAAAAAATCCCAAACAATCTAGACTACAGTACCAAATAAAATGTCAAACCAACAAGCTGATCACCGTTATCAACCTGTGTGGTAACTTTAACACCTCGATCAGTGTCAAGCCATTATTGGGATCATTCATGTGTAGCAATAGTGCTGAAACAATGATCACAAAGCTGGTGTGTAGTCTGTAGCAGTATATTGTTTGATTGATTGCTCAGTAGACAATTTCAATACATTACGTGGCGTTCAAGTGGCAGTCTCTACACTGATGATTGCTCTAGGTCGAATCAACAATTTTGTGAACCGAAAACAAGCTAATAGGCCTAAATATTTTACACGACATTCATGTGATTACGATTATGGTGTCGAAGAAATCTAAATAAGATTCGTTCATATACATCACAAACACGTGAAGAAGTCAGTCAGATCGATCAGTTTTTTCTTAGTTCATGTGTAAGGTTTGACATACATCTTAGCAGTCTCTACAGGTTTACCATTCCAGTCCAGTGAGTCCATGGGGTGTATTATTGGGTACATATTTCCTAAGGCACACGAGATCCATAGCTATGGATATTTATACAGGGCACATCAGAATTTCAGCAGTGTTAAAACAGGACAGACGCTTGTTCAATTTCATTTTGCGCCCATTAATGGAACATTGTAACATAAAACGAAACGTTTACAGAACGTAGGCAAATTAGATTTTGCATACAGCATTGTAGCCTGGAAACCGACTCAACTGTATCAACAGGTTGATTGTGAGGTCAGAGAGTGCGAGCGTAACTCATATATATGCTAGTCGGTATCACTAGAGATACCCGGATTATACAGTTAACAAATCTGGATCGGATATACTAGTGGTCAATACTGTGAACATCGACCAACAACCAGCCACTCCAACGGCTGCCGTTAACAGGGCTTGGTCGAGGCTCTGTTAGGGTGACGCACAAAATTTGATTATGTTGTATTTGAGAAGCACACTATGTTGTTTCACACAATGTCCTCACCAGAACCTTTACAATCAGCATGTCTCCACACCCCAAACCCCCCCCCTCAGTATCACAACTGATCGGGTGGCCACGCTCGCTGACTTGGTTGGCACATGTCATCGTGTCCCAGTTGCGCAGATCGATGCTCATGCTGTTGATCATTGGAATGTCTGGTCCAGACTCGATTATTTACAGACCGCCGTCATACAGCTGGAAGATTTTTGGGTGCGTAAAATTAAACTCACTCACTCTCACTTGGATCCTCTGACAGTGGTCCTAAACTAACGTATCACCCGCCATTATTTCGGTCATGTTATGGACCAAGAAAGGACTATAGATATTTAAGACCGGTTTGGTAATTGAACCCGGTTCCTTCAGGTCTTAATTACTATGACATATTTTCCATGTCATAGCAGTTTCTGTTTGAATTTATGAACCAGTGTGCATGTGCCGTTTCTCAGAAATTGCCTGGAATTGATGACCTATATGTAATTCTTACAAGCAGCAGGAAACTAGTAATGACCATGTCATATAGGAAGTACAGAGGCGGAAGTACTGCAGCAGTTATCAGAGACTTGTCATGTTTGTATTTACTGTATACATATGGTGTCTAAACAAACGTGCCCTCATCTTTGATGCATTTGGGAAACAAACATCATTGAGCTATAAACGGTGTAGACTGTTATTATCTTTTCCGAAACCTCAAAACAACATGTATGAGAATACGACATTGGCGTTTGTCTGCCGTGATCTACGTATGTCCGTTCGTGTTGTAAGCGGGGTTGGCACATAATTCACATGTAGGGACATGATCACTTTATGACTTAGTGTGCTTCCAAAACTTAGCTTTTTCACGACAAGCGGAAGTCAATCGTATTATGAATCTGTTTACTCTAAAGATACAGATGTATTCGTTAAGTCTGAAATCTCCAGACAACTCTTGTTACTGTACACGCAGTAAGGACGCTGCCTGTATAATGTATCCTCAGCACTACCCAAGACGACAACATAGGTGTCCCAAAACACTGAGGCCATCATCTTCCCAGCTGAAGGGGACAGTCTTAGCCCCTGCTGGTGTTGGTGGTGACGCTTGCTCTGTGATCGTTCTTTGAACTATCCATAGTCATAAACTGTCCCAAGAACCTCTCTGAATCAGCTTCAAACAGAGCTAGATTTTCACGAAACAAGTGAATTTTGAATCAGATATAAGAAACATTGGAACCCAACAAGCTTGTTGTTCACTCAAAGCCGAAATCATTGTGTTTATGGATGCTATTCTCTCCTTGGTAATGCCTACAAAACTAGCAATATGACGCCAAAGGGGGAAGGGGGTCTCTGAACCACCGAGGATATCGTCGTCAAGGCTCGTTCACCTTAACGTGACATAGGAATGGACAGTCTTCCATAGTGTTGTACTCGTATCGTCATTTGTGCCTGTCGGGGATAGATCGCAATGTGACATCATGTAATGTCCGTATAATATATTTCAGTGTAACTGTGTGAGGCTCCAAACCTATAGGCTCCGAATCTAAGTAGGAAGCGCTACTCAATTCTTTTGACACGTCGAACATTTATCTCATATCATTGTATGTCGTGCTGTCGCCAGACGTCATCGCTGTTAGTGTGACGGTAGAATTAAATAAACGCACACACACAATACGTTGACTGTATATATATCAGGGATGTCACGATACAGTCGCCTCACGATACTGCATTTCTGACATTTTGTGCGTAACAGGCAGCCATCACCTGAATGGCAAGCTCATACCATAGTTCACAAGTCACCAGATATTTTGGAGAGATTACTAGAGAAGGGAAGAGTGAGTATCAGCCAAGTAGCCATCAACCACACTCACCAAGTCAAGTCCTATACGATGTTCTGTATTATACATTACAAGAGAAAAATGTTTTAAGTTCACTTTTAATATTGTCTTGTATGTATTTAACAAATAATGTTTCATATGAAATATTGCTGCAACATCAAAATAAGAATCCATATATGTCAAAATATGAATCGATACCCAAACAAATGAATCTTGTATCGCATCGTGCAAAGCTTGCCAGAGATGCATCGGTGAATCGTGACGCTACTAATATACAGTATCTTGTTTAAACAGAAAAGTAGCTATGCTTGTTTTACTTTAAACACGTTTTTTGTGTCGCCAACAGTTGGTGTATTTTAGACAGCTGTTCCATTTTTTAATGTATCTATATCACCAGATGGGCTGTGGGTCATAGTTGTCATTTATCAATAGTCAGAAAACGTACATCTGTGTCAAATGGAACATATGTGGGCAGCTGCCCCCCTGTGGCGCCACTACTGCACGGAGGCCACACGCCATCCACACTCCAGTAACACTTATTGTGAGATAAAGGCTGCGATGTCATTTTCATGCTTCGCTGTTTTTATGTGGCCAGTTTGATCACAAGGAAACTGACCCCGCCCGGCCATGCGGTCACCAGCTGATCAACGCGTGCATGTTTATTAGTTTACAGGCCATGAAGCAAACCCTCAGTAGTAAGCCATTCAATGCGAACCAATCAGCCTTCTTCACTATAGCGCGGACACGCATACGAGTTGACCTGGCATGTTTGGGAGTTCATATATCAAATGCTATGGTTGCCACTAAGACTCCACCAGAAATCTCAATTATTTTATATATCGTAAGTGATTGTGTTGTTGAAGTGTTCGAAGGTCTCCGCTATATATGAGCATACAAAATTGGATAGAGATGTCTGTGAAAATGAGTTCAGGGTGTAATGAATCGGTAAACTGAGTTGAGAATCTGTTGATCACTGCTGACATAACATAGGAAGCCAATATTTACACCAGACCACCATTGAACCTATACCCTGTGTTACCTGGTCCTGACTATTGGCAATAGTTTCATCTATCTCACAGATAAACAAATCAGGTTTCGAAAAGAGAACTTATTTTCACTGATCCCCTAAGACAAACACCTACAGGGTTGCCATCGATCTTATGGTTGAGCTGTAGTTGATAAGGAAATGCCACTAGCCTACAACCCTGCAGAATCGTCCGAAATCGCGCAGACATGCGGTACGATTATAGCCAGGTCAATGAGAATGACCAACCGATTCCCAAATTAGTGGGCCCATACGTCACATATGCATTCATTTGAATAATCGTCACTTCTCTTACTTCTCAATTATGTTTCATTTCAGGTTTGTAATTCGTAATTCATGAATATGCATGTCGTTAATTGAATAATGACGACAAACTAATCATGTCATGTGTAACCTCCACATGGTACTTCCGGGTTACTCCAGTAGCATTGTAGTAGGATACGACCTTTGTCATAATAATCTTTTATGTGTGTGTTATGATCACATTAGACCTGTGAAGGTCCGGGTCAGAATTGGTCTTCAGTAACCCATACTTGTCGTAAGTGGCGACTAACAGGATCGAGTGGTCAATCTCGCTGACCTAGTTGACACATGTCATCGTATCCCATTGCATAAGTCGATGCTTATGCTGTTGATCTGTGCGGCGTAAAACTAAACACGTACTCGCTCACTATGGTCACATTAGCTGTCAGTGGCTCAAAATCTTTGTAGGTTCGGTGACTTTGCGGATTGTGTGAAGGTACCAGGAAGGTGTTGGAGGTTGCACATACTAATCACTGGTTTGTCTGGTCAGTTATTCACAAGTCGCTGGCATATAGCTGTCAAAACATCCTGTATCACCACCGTTCATCTCAGTCCCAAGCGGCTCGTGTAACATTTAGGTGACGGAATAAGCCGTGTGTACCCGGCTGGCAGTCTTGCATCTGTATGAAAACGGGGCGGTGA